CAAATTAAGGGATCTTATTTCCAAAAATGCACATGCTTAAGATATCTTTGCCAAATCCAAGCACATTTGCATTAAATTCTTGTGATGGATTCCTCTGGTTTTCCTGAGCTCCTAGCCCCCTCCCCCTGGCCGGCCAGCCAGCCTAGTTGCTGGAAAAAACCAAAACCAAGAGCCATTCCCATGGAACTTCACCCAAATTAAACCTAGAGGCCAGCTCATCCAAACCAAACTATGGAGCTCCTCTGCCCTCCACCTAAGCACCACAATGCACCCAAACTTATTCCCTGAGAGCCACCCCATGACCATTTTTATAAAACTCACCTCCCACGGCCATGGGAGGTGTGCTGAAATTTTCTTAGAGAGGCCTCTCCAAACTTCACACAGAGCTTCCCTAAGATCCCCTCAGTGTATTCCAACCATTTTCCCTCACTCATTCCCATTGTTGGAGCTCAATTTTGAACTTAAAACCCTGCCGGAAACCAGGACAGAACTCAATACACCTCCAAACTCCACCCCTCCACACTCCACCAAACTTCAAAAACTTCAAATGCTTGTGCCCACACCTTCACAAGAGTGAAAGAATCCAAGGCCCCATCAAATCCCCTTCCACTGAGCCTCTGCCATAGTTCTAGACCAACACCTGAAATCGAGCTTGGTCGGATTTATACCTAGGCCTTATACCAAGACCAAGGATTCAATACCTAGCCTCCTTGGACCCCAAAGAACGTGCCGAGCACCTCTAATCGAAGCCTCCCTTCTCAGAGCAAAGGTATAAAACTCCTCCTCCTCCCGAGGTTATTTTGATTCTCCATTTACTTAAACTTGATTTCATGGCATCTTAGTCGTATGTCGTCTCACTTAGAATTAGAAGAGTCCATAGAATCAAACCCAAAGTGATTTGGTTGAGTCTAGGTTGAGATCTTAAGGTTTTAGTGTGGACGGGCACGGGATCATTCTATTGGGGATGATGACGGTGAGTCGTTTGATCAAGCGTGTATCAAATAGATGGGGGAGATTGAGCCGGACAGCGCTTCGGGACATAAACAGTGGGACGAGTCAACAAGCTACGTGGACGGCGGCGTCCAACCAGAGCGCGCCACGCATGCCTTCGGAG